AGGTCCACTTACTGCCTGCTTGTGTAAGATGCATTCCTGTTTGCTACTCTCTTGTTTCTCCGCTCTAAACCAGAGTGGGACCTTGCGTAACTTTTTGCTAATGTATTGTAGCTCATTGTAGGAATGCCTAGGGTCATTTCCTCAGCTTCTCAAACATTCCTCCATTATTAAGCAAGCATTGCTTATGTATTTAATGTCAATTAGAAGAAGAGGAGATGATGGTCAAAGTATCCATTTTTCTCTCCCTCATCCTCCTACCCGTTCCTCCATTCCATGCACTTCTTAGAAGAAGAAGAAACTAAGTTACAGTTATTGTAATAATACACTATCACCACCTTGTGGCTTCAGAGAGTGCTGGCAGATATATTGGCATAGTTCAGATAAGAATAAATTAGAGAGGGTGTATATCTATATAGTATGGCTATGGCTAAAGAGCCATAACATTGTGGAATCTGAAAATCAGATAAGACTTTGGACTGTACTCTACCAAAAGATAGATAATGGCAATTGTCAGATGACTAAGATAACACTATAGAATTTTATTTACTGATTTTAGAGTCCATGTTGACTTTGATAGCATATAATTGATTACTTGTTCAGTCAAACATTCATATCCGCCAGTAATTAAATTATATGATTTGATGAACAGAACAAGGTCATTCAGCATTCAAATGACACTTAATGCAGGAATAACAGAATAACTTGGAACAAGAGCTGCAGAAGAAGACTTGTTAGAAATCCAGGACTAGAGTCAAGTGGTGGGGGGGGAGAAATGAGTCTCACCTTTGCAATTCTCTCAAGGTCTTTTCTTTGAGGGGCACTTTCCTGAACAAATCATGCAATCCATTTTGCCACATGCACAAACAGAAGGCAAGAGCTACTTTACAGCAGAGGAGAATCCTCTCTAACTATAGAACCATGACCTTTCCGATATATGTCAGAAGTACCAAAGCACTTCCATGGCAAGCAAAATAGCTCTTGGTATTCTCTGTACCCATAAAATCACTGTTGGCTGTTAGGAAGATACAAACAGACACACAAATGAATAGCCCCATAGTTCAGAGTCAAGCCAAGTCCTGCGTTCCGTTTCCTAGAAGGACCTACCAGGGGCCTCAAGCAAATCCCCAAGTAAGGTTTGAAAGGCAATGCTGCTCATTTGTCTTCAGTCATTTTATACTTTGGATGTAAGTCCACTTCTGTTCTTCTTCTTCTGGTGGTCCTTGCAACTATCACAAGTAATTAGTCTCCATGCACGTGTGGGAGAGATATCTCTGTTAGCTAGCACTGGAAAAATGTCTAGCAAACAGCTGGTCCATTGCATCCATTCCACACCTTTGCTGTTCAACTAGTTTTTATTAAATAAACCTATGTACACAATGTTTATGTTTGCAGTAAATATCCTACAGTTGGAAAGCTCACAATACCTTTTTTTAAAACAAAAAAGGAAGAATTTTTCCTTCCCTTTCTTTATTAAACTACTTCAGAAGTTGAGAGAAATCCAGCTGGCCTCCGAGACCTAGAAGAAAGCCACTTCCCTATCATTATCTGATAATGGGACTCTGGTTTGCTGGTGCTGAACAAGATATAGCATATAGTTTTATGTTATTGAAACACTCTTACCAAGACTGGCATTCTTACAGCATTATTCTCATTAGCTGACACAGAGAGCACTTCTGGAAGGCAGCAGGTCGGGAAAGTCAACATTCTAGACCGGGGTGGAGAACTATAGCCCTTTTATGACTTGTGGATTTCAACTCCTAGAATTCCTGGCTCAGGAATTCTGGGAGTTGAAGTCCACAAGTCATAAAAGTGCCATAGTTCCTCACCTCTACTCTAGACAGTATCTAAAATCACTGAGCAATTTAGCTTTATGCTGAGCAAAATGCTATCAATATGCATCTTAAAGAATTTATTTAACAAATGTAGGTGGCCACCCAATTCACACATCATAACACCGGGCAGTGTACAGCATTAAAAATTCACAACATAAAACCCTGCCTCCCCACCTCCTCCCCAAGGCAGCAACCTGTATAATCACACTAGCCCCTTGACCAGTTCCATAGTAGTCTGGAATCCACTGACAGAACCACATCTTCAGGGCCTTCCAGAAAAGTAGCTAGGTGGAGGCCAATCTTCTCTTGGAGGGAATGGTATTTCATAGGGTGGGAGCCACCACTAAGAAGGCTTTTTTTCTTGGTCCCATGAGATGTACATTTCCAATAGATGGGACTTGCAATGTATCTTGTTTTCCTCCTTAGTGAACCAGGTAGTTGTAACTAGAGACAGATAACTCTGGCCCCAAGCCACGTAGGGCATTAAAGGTGATAACCAGCACCTCAAATTGTACCCAGAAGCAAACCAGCAACCATCTCTGGCAACAAAGATGACACATGTATGAATCTAGGTTTGCACAGAGTCTTTGAAGAGAAATGCAAATATTGCTTTTATCCAGAAAGTTAGAAAGAGGGAGTATTATAATCCAAGGTTGATTTCTCATGGAATTAGTTTCAAAACCAGGCTTTGTGGGACACACAAGTACATTAGATGGGTTAAAAAAATCAGAGAATTAGGCCTCTGTGCTACAAGATCAGATCAGAATTTCTAAGAACAGCGCATGAAGAACTCCAGATGCCCTTGGACTTTGGTGCAGCATAGTAAAAAGAAATTGGAAAACATCTCCTGCCAGCTTGATAACAGGCAATGAAATAAAACAGCCACTTCAAAACCACAATATCTATGCTATCCCAGGCCCCTTCTAAACTTAGCATTAGCAGCTTGTGCTCTTTAAGTGTATGCCATAGCTAGCATCATTTCAATGATCATTTGAATGTTTTGAAGAGTTGTATTTCTTTGCAGATTAGGGGACAGGGAACTAATCTGAATACAGTACAGTCTAAACCATGTAGCATCAACAAGAAAACTTGATTAATACATTGTGTTTTGAATAAAATTTCCATATGAAACCTTGTTTTTTTAGACCCAGCTTAATTTCTTAGTGCTTTCATAAGCACTGTGGTCAAAGGATTATTCCCAGTAATGGTATTCACTTACCTTTGCTAGCAGTTCACAAATGTGAGCGCGCATGCCACCTCTGCATATGCGCAGAGCCTTCTTCACATGTGCAGAAGGTCCATGATGATGTCCGGGCAGGTGGGCGGAGCCTCCTGCCACCGCCACTACCAGTTTGACCGAACTGAGTAGAACAGGTAGAATCCCACCACTGATTATTCCTATATTATTGTTCATGTGAATCTTCAACAAAAACTTACAGTTTTAAATAGCAGTACAGGAAATGTTCAGGACAATGTTTTGTAGGCTAATTGCTGTTAAAATTGATGTCATAGGTATGTATTTTACATGACAAATCAGGGGAGCTGATGTTGAATGGCAATTGGAGAGTACAGCAAGAAGGAACATGATGTAGCTCCCTTCTTTTGGCTTGTGAGCTTCTCAGGCAGCAGTTGCCAAATGTGAGAAACAAAATGCTGGACTAAGGAGACTTTGATGAGTTCTCGTAGGACTCTCCTGATATTCATGCTATACCTTGCTGGTTTCCAGACCTGCATCAAATAGAGGAATAAAGATTCCTGGATCCCATTCTTAAATTTTAGGGAACTTTATCAAGAATCTTTGCTATCTACCAGACCAAACCTTTTGACTTGGCTATTCGTTATGCTTTCAGCTGACAACACCCTGCACTTATAAAATTTTATACGTAATACAAGCATCTTCTCTAGTATGGAGATAACCTTCCTTCTCCTATTAAAAGTGGAACATTTAGAAATCATACCCAATACTCCACTTCTCTTTCCTCTCTTAAAAAAATGATACAGCAGATTTTTGCGCCCCATGGAGTTAATAGTATGTATGGATATAGGGGACCATGTCATTGCTGAAAAAACATCCTTTCAGAAATTCCTCATCCTCTCAAAAGCCATTTGGGGGTGCATGTTCCTTCTTCAATTCTTTTTAAAGTCCTGGAAGATCCTAATTATACCTTTCTGAACCCAGTTCTAGTTTAGTTCTTGGTGAACATTTGACATCCAGGTTACGTATTCTGACTCATCGAATAACTTGCAACTTGCCGAATGTGAAAAACTTCAGGATTTCTAAAGGTATTTTCCATGTTCTTTTTAAGATGAAGCCCAGGATTTGCTGGGTAACTCACATTTACAGTACTTTTACAGAATGTCTGTACTGTGGTTTAGGGGTGATTTAGGGTGGTTTAGGGGTTGGGAATTGTGGTTGGCGGGAGTGTGTTTGGGGATTGTTATGTGTGTTGGACCTGGTCTTTGGGTGTTAAGTGAATTTCGTTGTATGGGTATACTGTGTATACACGTACAATGACAATAAAGTTGTTGTTGATGTTGTTGTTAATATTACTACAACTACTACTACTACTACTACTACTAGCCTTTAAAAATATTGTATTGTTTTTAAAAGGGCATGTGTGCTATTGAGGAATCAGTGTAAGATATTTGACTTGGGATAACAGTTGTGTATGTTGTATGAACTCCTCAATTTGTTTTTAATTTATTTTAAGATGGAATATTTACAACTCTAACCACAGCTGAACAATTCCTTAGCTCACCATGGCGACCTCATGTCAACATCACAAATATCACATGCATGTAAAAAGAAAGAGGGCTTCAATTGCCTGGTGGTGCCTGCCATTATGATGTCAAGACACATGTTCCCTGCAGTTCCCCAGCAGACTTTCCAAATATGGTACCTCTTGATATACTAAGACTACAACTCCCAGGATTCCTAGCTAGTCTGGAGTTTGCCTGGTTGGGGAAAGCTGGCTTTGGAAATTATACATGTGATGTTCTCTTCATTGCCCATAAGGGGCGCTTATTGACTGTATATTCAACAGTGAGATTCACAAGAAAGGATTCCTGCCTAGGCAAGTTAGCAAAGATTTTGGCAATATTAGGCTTTGGAGTGAAGAAAAGACAATTTGGTAAAACTACTCTTGAAAACTACAGTAGACCATGTGCTAAAGCTGCAGCCAAAATGGAATTATTTTATTAATCCTAGTTGTAATAACAATTATCAAAAGTAGAAAACAAAACTTAGAAACTACAAAAATAATATAAATCTAGCTTTAAAATATCACAGTGACTGATACTTTATACATGTAGTACAATAGTAGGTAGCCTACCACAGCATCAGTAGCGATCAATAGAAATACAGTACTGTATAGAATGGATATCTTGCTCAGACCTGGCTCAACAGCATCCCAAGCAGCCACATCTGTCTTACTTGCACTGTGCTTTTGCCTTGAGAACAGAATAAGCAAGTAGCTATTTCTATGCCCGTAATATAATGAAACATTTCAAAAGATCATTTCTGCCCAATTATATATGTAGAAATTCAGGCTTTGCTGGTCCATGGGATAAAAATCCTTTTGAGTTAATATTCTAGAACTATGTGATGGGAGAGTTGGAATTTGAACGGAATAAGCTCAAAAGGTTCCTTGCTGCCTAGGCTGCCATAAACTTCTTTTGAACAGGTTTGTTTCTTTAATTACAATGGACACTGAAATGAAAGGTGGAATTAAGTAGGCTAGAACTGTTTCTGAAAACAATCTCCCTGTGCACAGGATTCATGCTGACCTGCAGACACAAATGAGATATAAAGACTGTTGACAGGAAAGATTCTGGAACAGCAAGGAATGTTATTGGATAAACTTGAGAAATATTTCTATCTCTGATCTGATCTGACCTCATTGGGAATTGTAGAACTTTCATAAAGCTTTGAGCAACTCAGAGGAAGGGCAGATAGACATCTACCATATAACTAGGACCATGAATAATTGCCTTCCTGTATCCTCCCTCACCTCAGCACCGTCCAAATAGATCAGATTACAATATCCATAATCACTAGCGCACCTGCTGTCTGGATGTCATGGAACTGGAGACCAATACAATTAAACAAGAGGATGTAATAGTAATGGAAGTTATCTTAGTATAAGATCAATCATTTCTCTTGGTGGTCTTCCTTGCATCTCTGAAGTAAGGATACTATTAACCCTGACAAGGGAAGAATAACACAAATACCATTTTCTGCAATTCCCAGTTCCTTCATAAGATTTCCCATCCATCTGGACTCTGCAAACATTTGGGCTTCCATACTTGTAGATCAGGGGCAGGTTTCGAAACCCGTCACTCCCGGTTTGCTCGTGGATGTGCTTGCACATGCGTGCAACACTTCTGCACATGCGCAGAAGGCTCTGCGCATGTGCAGAAGTGTCTGGGCAGCTGAGTGGATCCTCCCACCGCCACCGCCACCAGTTCGCCTGATAGTAGCAACCCACCACTGTTGTAGATGTAGCAACGAGCAATCTTCATCATGGAATAGTCCCACCTTGGAAATGGAAGGATTCATCCAACATGTTCATTCATTATTTCTCACAAGCAGGAGCCAGGGAAGCACAGCCCCCAACAGAGCAACAGCAGAGATAAGGAAAACGGCCATCATAATAGGAGACTGGAAGCAGCCCATTCCAGGACAGTGTGATGTCTCTGATTCAGCAGCTTCTCCATAATCTTGAGCTATGGTAACATAGTCCTCATCAATTAGCGGCATTCCACACTGAGTAATAATGAAGATATGAGATTCATGTTCCAGGCCACTGGGCCGTACAACGGAGTCCATGGTAGGATACCTCTGCGAACCTTGGTGTCTGTCATAATTGTGCAGCGGCAAGAGGAAATGGCCAGGAACCACCAAAGTATTTGCAAAGCTGGGTGGCACTCCACAGGTGAGTGGCAACGAGGAAGGTGAGAGGGGCAACTCCAAAGAGGATGGACTCTTGGAAGGCCAGCAGTCCTTTTTATTGCAGAGAAAGGTCACAAAGCGACAGATGGGACACGTAAGGGTGTTTTGCAGATGGCCTTCTTCATGTGACAGCAGACACTTGACCAAACAGTCATGGCAAAATGTGTGGCCGCAGCTCAGCATCCGGCGGGACACTTTTGGGGACTGAAATGTTTCATAACACACAGGGCACTCACCCGGGGGGGGCGGCAGGAGCTTCTTTGCTAGTGTTGTTCTGAGACATCCCTGCCCTCTTAGATCATTTCTGTGAACCAAGCTGGATAAAAAGCAGAACAAACAGATTTGTAATCAAACAGCTACAGAATGAAGAAGAACATGTGAATGTAAGACAAGACTTGATTCCAAGCAGTTGGGAGGAGCTGCTGTCCCAAACCCAGAGGCTCCCTGTACCATCCATCTGTGGATCCACAGAGGTGCAATTTAGACAAGGCTGTACAACCTAATGTAACCTGGGACCGTATTTGGTCCCACAAAGCCTTGTACGTAGCCCTTACAGCCCTACCAAACTGGCAAAACAGGAAAGTTATTAAATTCATGGGAAGGAATTATGTCAACTGTATTTCATCAATGTAATTTTAAATCCTGTTTGTGATTGTTACACACACAAACACACACACACGCACACACACACACACACACTTTCCTAACCCATTTGTCAGCCAAAATAGTTTCACTTAACCCATTTCTTCCTATATCCAAGTTAGCTAACAATCAACAACATAACAATATAATATAAATTACTACCACCACCTTTCAAATTGCAGCAAAATTTTTAAAAATGAGGATAAAATACACATTAGCTACCCCCAATATAGTACTGCATTATTTGGTTGGTATGACACCAATGTCATAGTTACATACATACATATCAAAAGATGCTCAAATATGCTTCATCCATGGAGATCATTGAAAGGAGATTGTTTTCTGAGACTCCTCAGGGTGCCCCATAAAGAATATCCTCAGAAGTATCTTCTTTTCAGGCACCAAGCCTTCCCCAAGCACCTTTCCATGGACTCAGTTGTTCTAGGTCTGATCTTCCCAGCACCCTAGAAATCAGCTTGCCTATATAACTAGAGATGGTTGCTGGGTGGCACACACTAGAACTATGCTGCGTCTTGCATCAGACCTTTAAGAAGAGCAAGTGACCTGAAGGGTGGCTCCCAAGGAGTGAATGTGGAGGAACTTGTTTGTGGACTGAAGTTTTCTCCTTCTCTGTTTGGTACTTGGGGAGGAGTCACCAGGAAGATACCATTTTTTGGGCCCTGCTGTTCCATGTCCATTAGCTGAAATACGGTATACTGAAACTAAGTACTGGTAACTTAGATCCATTGTATCTTAAACTTTTTTATTTCTGACTTATTGGAGAGCTAGGCAGAGGATTTGTTATTCTGCTATAAAAAAGGAAAGTCTACACAGAGTAAGACTACCATCTCTGGGGTGCAAAAATTCAGATGGAAGCAGTTATCATTAATTTAATTAATTAACATTAGCAACCTTGGGGTTGGTTAGTGCCTCAATGTCCCTCCTCCCACTTTTTAATTTTTAACTTTAATTATTTTGTTCCTGCCTTCTAGAAGAATATAATATTTATACGATTTTTATCTTTTAATTGTACACTGGCCAGAATTGCTCTGTTAGTGAGATGGGCAGCCTCCAAATTTGACCTGTAAATAAATAAAATTTCAGGATGTTATTGCTATTGTCTATAGTGACCATAGAAAGTCTAGTCTGATACTTGGGGAAGCATGCAGAGGAACCCAGGTACAAAATCACAGATCTTCTAGTAGAGTTTGAAAATCTGCATGAATCCTCTGAAAGTAAATGTCACTGTGTCACTAATTTGGGGTTCAATTCAAAGCAGATTACTGCATCAATTATATTGCCTGCAACAGTTCTAAGGACATTAATGAAGTTCCTAAGTAATGTGTTGGACCTGACTTGGAGGGATGTTACAAGAGAATAGACTATCTATAGTTCAGTGTTGACCTGTAAAGTTCTTGGTATTGTCTGAGCTTGGTTGTTTACTTGCAGGCTTTTCATTACCCAACTAGGTAATAAGATCAGTGCAGGCCTGATGTTATCTAGTTGAGTTAATGAAATATCTGCAAGCAAATAACCAAGCTTAGTAGAATATGTATGAACTTGTCTGAGTGAGTGTGTGTGTGTAAATCGTAGGTTTGGCTGGCTTAATGTAGCCAATTTTGACTGTTCAATATATCACGGTTAAATAAACCATAGTTTATCATGATGTACTAAATTGCATATACAGTTCAGGAACTTCAGTTGGTCCAGAATGCAGCAGCTCTTTGCCCAATTGATTGACTGATTGGATCAAGTCACTGTATTTACATAAGTAAAATAATTGCTTACACTTTTGAGCCTTAATTAAATCCTTCTAAGTTAAGGAAATATTACTGATTGGGAAACTTGGAAAACATTTAATATTCAAAACTATAAATGAAATAATTGAAGATTAAGAGGTATCTCCTCTCATCTTGACATTAAATGAGACCTGGATTCAGGTACTCAGTCATCTATGTTTAGATTGGCATGTTCCAAGATATGGTAAAAACTGTCATTTTCTTGCCAAGGTCAATGGATGAATTTGAACAGTCCTTTGAATAGGATTTTGGGAAGAACATGGAACCCTTGTCAAATAAGTAGAGGGAATTTTTACATGGCACTGCTCCATGTATTTTATATTCCTAAATTTGGTTCTTTGGCATCGTAATAAACAAAAATTAACAGGACTTTTCCTGGTTGATAGTTAGTCTCCAGGCCATAATAAATATGCTTCACCAGATGCAGGATTAAGATATTTGGGAACTAAATGGATAACCATTTGTCTGAAGTGGTGTAGAGTTTCCTGCCTGGGCAGGGGGTTGGACTAGAAGACCTCCAAGGTCTCTTCCAACTCTGTTATTCTATTCTATTCTAAATCCTTTTAAACAGAAAAGAGAGCCTCCTCAAGCCCAGCCTTTTAACCCAACATGGTACTGAAACAAACAAACATAACAAGAAAAAGAAGAACCAAATTAAAAGCACCGCTTCCACTCCTACCCAACATTTTGATATATTTTATATTTGGAAACATATTTCATGCAAAGGAAGAATGCATACATTTTAAATATGAATTTTAATATTTTTATCCAGAATGGCATTTGTAAAAGCAAGGCTAATCTATTAGAAAAAGACTGACAATATACCTTATGAATGGAAATTTATCCATAATTGTAGTAAGTTTGTTGCCTTTTTTTGGTGGGGGAGGGCTATTGGGTTAATTTTTTCAGCCAAAATGAATTATCATATATTTAAATACTTCTAATCCAAAGAAAGATCAGTTTTCCGGGTTTCTGCAGCAGCTGACAACAGGAATTGAATCAATTGTTTGTATTCCATTAATTTTTATACTTAGGAAAATGAATCATAAAGCAACAGCAGGATTGATTGTGAAAGTCTGTTGACTGATTTTCTCGATTTCTTCATGAAGCATTTACCAAAGGAATGATTAACTGGGCATCGTGACCAAAGATGGCAATGAGTATTCATATGTTTACAATCCCGTCAACACAATCTAGCCATGATCTTCTTGATAGTATTGTGACACTGCTAGGATTTTATAAATATGATTCAGAAATGAACAATGGTGAAGTAACTCATATTCTACAACTGTCACGCTTTTCTGTTTCTTGTCACTACTGAAAAGAAACACTGTCACAATTTCGGTCATCTAGGAAGTTTTTTAAAGTGGGACAATACCGGTAATTTCTATTAGGCACACATATTTTTGTGTTGTAATATTACTAAAATCTAAAACCAGGAAAGACTCAAAACATAGCCACACTCTAGATAGTAAAGGAAATCAAAGTCTTGGCAAGTGTCATTCTGGCTCTTTTGTGTGGATAAGAAGTTTGCACAACGACAGAGCTGCTTGTTGCTTGGTGGTGCCACCCTTCATGGAAGAACCAAAGTATATGATTTGACTCAGTAGAAGATGCATAGTTATATTTTTCTAGCTGATCTATTTTGATTTGTTAATTTTAATTAAATAGTTTGGGATTACCACTATGATCTGAGCCATGGCACTTGTGGAAAAGATGTATTTTCTGTGCTAGTTTTTACGCGTCTCATTTGTTATATTTCCTAGTACTTTTAATCCTATTGAATAAAATACTGCATCCATTTCCCCAGACCATACACTGAACATGGTGTACACAGTCTAAATCTGTTTTATTCTCTCAATGCTTGCAGGAATAATTTTCAGTGTTCCCTTAACCAATTTGCTATGAAAAATATATTTCAAGAACCTTAATGCAGCAATTTATAGCTCTGGAGTATGACCACAACGTAGTTTTTTCTCACATAGAGCAGAACAGAAGAATTACACATTACAAATTCTCACAGAGAAATATCCACGTCATCTAATAATGTTTTTATATATGCCAAATGCACACTATCCAATCATATCTTCACCCAGTCTCATGCCCATTCCTTCATGTCTATTATATGCTACAGAAACAAAGACATTACATTCATATAGTATATATAATTGGTTTAAGGTGTATATGTTGGGAGGGTTGCGGCAAGGGTGGTGTGTCATCCAAATACATAATTCAGCACCTAGGAATAGAGAGGCATAGTTATTACCCAAAATATTGATGAGGTTGTGTTGATTTAAACTAACCCAAACTGATGTCACCTAACTGGGGAATTCCGGGAGTTGAAGTTTACACATCTTAAAGTTGGCCAGTTTGGGAAAAACTAGTTTAAGACTAACCTCTTAGGGGCAACTGTGTTCGCCAAACATAGGAGGAAAGAGAGTGAATTCTCTCTTCCTGCTGTCAGTATGAGATAAGTTCTCTAGAGCATTTCCACAAAATCTGGATTTCTCTTGGAACTCTCTCGAAGGGAGTGTGCATAAAAATGAAAGCTCTTTCATTGTTATACACACTCCCTATAGCTGCAGGTGGTGGATGAATGTGGGATAGAAAGAAATGGGGATAAACATTCCTTCCGAACTCTACTGTAGCTCTGATCCCAATGGTGCCATCACAGGAAATGACAACTTCCCGGGGCTCTTTGTGATGGTTAGACTTCCTGTAAAGATGACCACTCCACATCAGAGTGTCACATCACCTTACAATGATTACTCTGGAATAGTGACAAGCAAGGTCAACTCTGGAGTGTGAACGTATTTATTCATGTTGTGGTGTCAATGAGTCATGTGCCAAATATAACCTTTTGGGCCAGACTGGATCTGCTACTGTGAGGAAACTGTTTCTGGATGTTTCCTAGCAGGGCCACAAGAGGAGTTGCTCTGAAAAATAAGCTTCCTTAGCACCTCCCACTTGAGAGCATATGTGAAGCATTTTAGGTTTAAATGCAGCCCACATAACAGCATTCTAAAAACTAATATCTGGAAAGGAAGGACAATGTGTAAGTCTGGTATGGATTTTTTTTTCTCTTCACACAACTCTATTTATTTATGTATGTATTAAAAAAGTTTATATGCCAACTCACACACAGGTGACTCTGGGCAGTTACAACATTTAAAAATCAACCACATAAAAATACGCAGTCTCCCACAGCAGCAACAACACAATCAAATCAACCATTTGATCAGTTCCTTCTCCATTTGTGATTCCCAGACCCACTGCCACAACCATGTTTTTAGGACCTTTCGATAAAGCAACAGGGTGAGGCCAACTCAGAGGAAATGTTGTTTCATAGAGAAAGGGCAACTACTGAGAAGTCTCTTTTTTGTGGTCCTACCAAATATACATCATGTTTAAAGGCCTGTGACATTTTTATGTGAAAACTAACAAGCTCATCTATTGCTTGAAGTAATAACATCCAAAAATGCCAGTACCTACTTTGTAGCATTACTATTTGGGAGGTACTAGAAGCAATACTGCATCATTCTCGACTCCATTTATAGGAGAAACTAAAATGCACAGAAAGAAAGAACTGTCCTATGCCAACTATCCTTATATGAGGAATTGGATCCATCACGGCCTACTAAAATTTCAAATAATGTACAGAGCCAAGAAAAAGACATATTCTACCCTAGCAAGAGCTACATTGCTAAGTCATCTCATATTATGAATGTAATTCTTAGGCACAGCCTACTTATAATTTAAGTGCCACTCAATTAGTAATCCAACTTTCAGCCACCTACAGTACTTCCAATTTTAATCCTAAAAGCATGTTTAGTAACCATGGCATCAGGGTTTTATGGAAACTGTAGACCAAGACATCTAAGGAAGTCCATCTTAATATGATATTCCTGGTATGTGACGTTTTGTATACATACAAAGAAGAACTCTTGTAATCTTTGACTTTTAGACTTGCTGTCAAACATCAGCCATAATACTAATGATTGTTTTGAACAATATGCAGGTTGTATTACACAAATAGCTATTTTATATGTGAAATTATGACTGAAATAGTTCTGCACCTATATTGGTTCACACTGTCAGGAGTTTTAGGTTGCTTCTCTCTTTGTTCAGTTTCCATCCATTGCTTCTTGTTTTGCCTTCTGGTGCTTTGGAAAATACATTGTCCCCCCTGGCAGCCCCTTAAAAGCCTGTTGCCTATCACACTGTTAGGCAAAGCATGTGAGCCATTTCCTCCTTTCAGTGGTCCATGAAAGTGCATCTATAGCAGTGGTCCCCAACCTTTTTATCGCCGCGGCCCGCTGAGCGCGCGCAGGGATGGGGGCACGGCCCAGGAGCTTTTGCGCACGGCCCATTGCGCACGGCCCAGGAGCCTTTGCGCTGCAGCGTTCATGTCCCCCGGCCGCTGCGCGGCCCAGTGCCAGGTACTCCACGGCCCGGCACCGGTCCGCGGACCGGGGGTTGGGGACCACTGATCTATAGTATGTAGATAATAAAGTTGAAAAAAGGTGAACAACATTTTTACAGAACTATAGATACGTTGAGGCTGGGTGTGACAAGGAATGGCTGGGAGGGGAGGGGCCAGGTGAGGCACCAGTTGACATGAGTGACATTGAGTTGGCCACGCCTACCCAGTCACATGACCATCAAGCCATACCCACTGTCACATGACCATCAAGCCACACCCACAAAATAAGCCACGCCCACAGAATCGGTAGTAAAAAAAATTAGAACCCAGCCCTGTAAGGAACACATTGGCCTGTGATGTAGTTTTCAATGAAATTACAAGCAACTGTATGAATTATTCTAAGTTATAGGTTCAAAAATGATAATGTGCTTTCATATGGTGAAGCTTTTTGTATGCCAAACTACTAGAGTCAAGAGAGAACAGAGGCTGGGCCTTCTTCTCTTTCATTTTAAATTTGAAAGTAACTGAGAAATAGTTAAAAATGCTTCTCCCATGACACTTTTTTCTATATAAATTCCTCCCCACCTTGTCCAGTCTCCCAATTTGTGCCACTAGGAAAACATACATACTGTACATATAATACATGCATGCATGCATGCATACATACATACATATATATTCATCATCTGGCTCACAGAGAGCAACATGTTAAGGAAGAGATTAGATTAGAAACTTCCTCCCGACATACCAATTTTATGTATCACTGGAATTTTTTTATGTGGGCAGGGCCAATGGTCTTTTTGTTTTGTAAATATCACCTGCAGTCTAAAATGGTGCAGTCCAGCCAGAGAATTACAACTCCAGTGAGAACTGGGTCATCTAGAAATGATGAACTCACCTTCACATCTATATATAGATTCTGGCCAAACAGGCCAGTCAGCTCCTGCTACACTAGTAACAGTGGAAACCTGATGCTTTAGCAGGTCAAGCATGTACCACCTCGATTCAGCTGCTAGACTGGATTATGTTTCCATTCTCCGAAGTGTGAATGCATAGGCTCCACTTCCTTGCTGGCTAGCACATTTGCAATGCTGAGGGACACAATTAAAACAGACAAACAAGTTACTAACAATTAACCAGCTGACGTTACATGAAGAAATTTGCTCCAGCTTTCTCAGCTTAATATTTTTTTTCAGATATGTTGGGAGCACAAGACCCCAAACCTATAGCCAGAAAGAAATGGGGATGATAGGAGCTGTAATAGAAATACCCATAGGAGAAGCAGGTTAGGAAAACCTCAAATACTGTGCCTGTTTATGCCTTGCCAGGCACATTGTCTCATGTCACTGCACTTAGCACATTTTTATGAGAGAGTTTGAATCTTCTTGTTCAAGTCATAGGCAGTGGTGGGTTTCAAAATTTTTTACTACCGGTTCTGTGGGTGTGGCTTGATGGGTGTGGCATGGCTTGGTGGGTGTGGCTTGGTGGGCGTGACAAGGAAAGGATACTGTAAAATCTCCATTCCCACCCCACTCCAAGGGAAGGATACTGCAAAATCCCCATTTCTTCCCGATCAGCTGGGACTCAGGAGGCAGAGAATAGATGAGGGGCCAGTCAGAGGTGATATTTACCGGTTCTCTGAACTACTCAAAATTTCTGCTACCGGTTCTCCAGAACTGGTCAGAACCTGCTGAAACCCACCTCTGGTCATAGGCATTGATAAAATAGTGAGAAACATTCTGTAGATAAAGGGATCCCTCAGGTAAGAGTGAAACCTACTTTGCATATATGATCTTTTATAGAAGGCTCTGATAATCAGGTTCTCCAAATATTCCTGAATTCCTGGCAGCCAAACCAAGCATGGATTGTGATGCGACATGCTGGGAGCCTAACAACATATGGAAAGTCACCATTTCCCCAACTCTAATTTACAGAATTCAAATTATATATGTTATATAAACAAGGCACTCAATCAAATACACTATCTCTGATTATGACTCTAGTTTAGTGGTTCTCAACCTGTGGTCCACAGATGTTTGGGGGGGCATGATGTCATCACAGGGGGGTCCGTGGCCATGGTCTGTGGCCACAAAAATTATTTAATGGGGTTCTGTGGTGAATAAAAGGTTGAGAACAACTGCCTTAGTTAAATTTAGTCAGGCCTTAACATAAATTTGGATCAATTTACAGGATGATTCTTTTATCAATATATAAGGCTCAGATGTTTCATAAGGCAATTCAGAATAAGGACTGGGGGACCATCTTTGTGTCTGTCACACTTACCATCATCCCCATCTGCTTTCTGGCTGAAAGACCAAAGAAATGCCAGGGTGAAGATAGTGCACTGTAAGAAAACACAATTTGTAACACTAACGTTAGTCATTCTTATATGATTGTGAGATACATTTACTAAGGTAATTAGCCTTAACTTCTCATATTCTGGCATATAAAACCTGAGACAAGATTAACCAGTCTTAATTTTGGTATTAATTCAGTGAAGGTTTTTTATTATTGAGCATTTGAATTTCTCTAAGTTTGTCTCATCTGGATGGCAAAAATCCAGCCCATCCCTTCGGCGGAAAGGGGATATAAGCCAACTACATACTATTTTCTTCCATCAAATGGTCATTGTTGTTATTGTGGTTTTAATTACACTTATAATGGTTATTATAGCCTAGATCTGATAGCTGCAATTTTTCTAGGTCAAAGTTGAGAAGTGTGGTTCTCTAGATACTGCTGAATGGCAAATTACCAGCTTCCCTCACCATTAGTCTAGGGAAGAATCCTAGACTGTAGCAGCTAAGTGGTAAAATCTAACAGCAGAAGCGTTACACCTAAGCGCCATTTATCTTTCTAAATTCTATCCAGTGAAATCCATCCACATTTTTTAACAAGTAATGTTCCGACCAGATTATTTACTTATGTGGTAAATTCAATCATTTGGTGAATTTATATAGTCTCTCTCCCCCCCCCCATTTCTACAGAGCAATTAAAACTGGGTTGCAAAAGAGACCCTTAGATATCAGCAAAATATTTTTTTTTTCATATCTTTCCTGCCTTCTAGCTGTCTTCCAAATTTTAACAGTGTAGACATGGTAGCCTTAATTCAGGAGTGATGTAGTTGGATCCGACCCACAGGGCCATCCTAAAAAATGTAAGGGGCTGGCTTGGCCCGTGTCACTTTGGCCCGGTCTAACCCTAATGCAAAGAGGAAACATCGAGCCAGCGTGGCTTTGCCCCAGTCTGCCCAATGCAAAGAGGAAATATTTGACCCTAGCCTGCCTAGTGTGCATTGGCCTACTACAGGTAGTCCTCAATTTACAAACATAAGTGAGCCTGGAATTATGGTTGTAAGTTGTGTTGGACATTAAGTGGGTCACTATGTGACCACACCAGTTTTTATTACCTGTTTTGCAAACATCCATTAAGTGAATGAGGCAGTCGTTAAACAAAAGCATTTTAACCAATAGATGTTTTTTGCTGGAAACCAGAAGTAAACGCTGGTGTCCAGCCTGCATCATAAAGTGCAGTCACATAACTCAGGATGCTGCAAATGGCCATAAAAGCGGACTGGTTGCTAAGCACCCAGACTGAGATCACGGGACGGTGGGGGGGGGGAGGGAGAGGTTGGCTATCAGAACTAATTGTAAGTAGGTCTGGGAAAGTCCGTCATTATTTTGAATAGTCGCTAAGTGACAGGTTACAAGTTGAGGACTACCTGTATCAAATTCTGAATTCGCAGGTAGCATAGCCAATAGCCAATTTACCGGACATTTTAGGAATTTGTTAAAAATTTGGCACCAACTGCTCCATTTCTATGAGTGATTTTGATCTAAGGCAGTATGTATGCAATATTTTAGCTTCCTGTCTACTAAAATGAAATTAAGAGTATCATATTTCTGGATAAATATAACCAAAAATTATTGTCTTTTTTTTTTTTTAAAGACACCTTACAGAATTATTTTAAAGACTTGATTTAATATATCAGGCTACCTGCAGTATATCTAGGTATTCTGAAAAAAAAATGTCCAGCTCTGTTAAGCCTTCCTAGGCCATGACTGGTTAGTCACAATACATAGCAACATAGCAAGAGGCAAAACAAGTCAACACCAGAACTGATGTTATGACTGAATTTTTTAAAAAAATCCTCTTGTGTATTCTTACAAAGTGGGCTGGAAGCCAACAATAGTTGTTTCAGTTTTGAAATGGAATCCTTTCTAATAACAGAAGCTCCATGGAATAGCCTTGGTCACCTGCTTTGTTTGTAGCTTTCCTTCCTCAATGTTTGGAACTTCCTTTCTTCCACAGGAACCCAATTTTTTTTTTATATGAATATAGAACAAAGCCTGACTTGTGGCAGAACATAGTTGGAAGGGACCTTGGAGGTCTTCTAGTCCAACCCCCTGCTTGAGCAGGAGATCCTGTACCATTCAGATAAGTGGACTTGCTTTAATTTGTCTTTAAGAGAGTTTCCTCTGGTCTCTTTGGTCCACAAAACCACATCCAGCAGTTTTAAAATTATATTCATAGATAACAACAGAACTGGCACTGGGTTAATATGTGATTTCACAATCATGTTGTTTTTACAATTCATTGAATAAACACATTACCTCCATGATGATATTAGTGTTTATTCATGCATTTTTGCATGAATAAATCTTACATATTGCCTCTGTTTACTTAAACAGGTAAATGGAAAATAATAGAAGAAAATTATTTACTTTCTATAGCCAAATGCCAGATTTACTAAAGCAAAACACTGGAAAATTAAAATATACATTTCATTGGATTTTGTCATCTGATTTACCACCCCGTTAAACTGTACTCCCTTTTGGGCTCAGTATTTATACCCCCTTAATATTATAATCAAGCCAAGAGGTCAAAAACACAGATAAACTGTTTTCTTCCACAATCAAACTGACATCTTAAGCACTAAAACAAATTTATCAGGCATGTCTAATTGGAAAAAGAATCCTAGTTTGAGGAAAGCAGAGCATCTTCAATAGCCACTGTATAGCAATTCTAGTATAACAATAGGGATTTTTTAAAAAATGAAAGAAAATAATATTAGAAACAACCCAAGGATGATCTTAATTAAGATCGGGCAGATATCTGTCTCAAATCTGCACTGCTGTTGACTGGGTGAACCAGGTCTGATGTAGCAAAATGATACTTGCGTAAGTAACATTGCCAAAGCCATGAACCCTGAGTCACTTATTTTGTACTCAGAAAAATAGTCATGTGCTATTCCAGGTTTCATCCATTCTTTCACTAATTCAAAAAAATAAAAAACAAAAAAAGCTTGGAAAGTTCTCAGCACTATCAACTTTTGGGCAACACTTTTGCCAGAAAGAAAATTATTATTTCAATGCAGTTACCTGGCTCCTGCCTTTCCCTCCTTTTTAAAATCTCTTTTGGACTCTGTCAGTCTTGACTAATGCTGTGTCCCCAATGTTTCCAATTTGTCTCCAAAGTAGGCCTGCTTGGATTAGCAATATGTTTGCCTCAGGGCAGAAATCTCCTATAAAAAAGGATGACCTTACTCACCTTGGAGTTTGAAGAGTTCTGGGCGTGGACGTCAGCATACTTGAGAGTGGGAAGCTGACCTGAGCAATGATTAGTGAAGCAAGTTTTATAATTATTACATAAAAGGTATTTATTTACAGGAACGTACGACAGGCAAAGCCTGGCACCTCATGACGTGGTATGTAGAAGAGAGTCGAAAAATATATATTCTGAATGCAAATGCCAGGAAAGAAAAGCAGAAGGAAGAAATATCAGATTAGCAGTTTCTTAGGAGCTAGCAGAGCTAGTGATGGACTAAGAATAAATCCTTTACTCTCTCAACACCTCACTGCCCTCTTGTGGTTAAAAGATCATGAAGTGCTGGAGAGTCAGTGTCTTTGCATTCACCCGTCCAGGAACTCAGGGTTCTCCTCTTTTTCTCTCCATCAGTAGCCGAATTCCCTCAGGATACTTGCAGAGAGGGATGGAGTTTTATCCCTCATTTGCAAGTCTTTTGATTATCCCAAAGAGAAAATCTTTTGATCAGTTTAAAACTAGACCTACCCACTCCATCATAGACGGGTCTAGGACAACTCGTTGCTGTCAACTCGCCACAGCCAACTCGCCCCAGGACAACTCACTGCGGGATAACAGTTACACTAATATCAAAGAAATGGTGGAAAAGAATCATTTTAAAAAGGATGCTGAAGGAGGGACAAACGGAAACACGAATGACAAAAAAATAAACTAATGCTTAAATTATTTTAAATAACTAAATGGAAATGTTGAATTATCCTGTGACGAGTTGTCCCGTGGCAAAATAGTCATGGCGAGTTGGCAGTAGCAAGTTGGCTGCAGCGAGTTGTCCCATTCCATCATAGACCAACCTTGAGCCTTGGTAGTAGTCTCACCACCAGGCAGGAGCCTATCAGCTTCCTCCAATTGGAGGATTTGAAGCGGAGCTGCAAGAAGGTTGCTAGGCCTCATAGAAGTTAAACTAATTGCCCTCTAGTACAGTTTCACCTTAGAGCTTGCAAGCATGATCTACCAGATTTCTTGAAATGGCCTTGCTGTGTTGGGCGTTCACAGGCTGGAAGAGACAGCTAGCTTCATCTGACTACTGGAATGATAGATCAATATCGGTCTTTAAACTGGTCTCAGACCTCAGTTCCAGGAGAACTATGGCTTTAGGATGCCAAATAATATTCCAAACAGACCTAATGAAAGAGCATTGGCAACAGCAATTGGGCAGAGCCCGCATCTTTTGCCCCCTCTAGCTGTTGGGAGGATCCTTGTAATACTGTCCTTTAGTGATCAAAATTTGGTGCCCAGGCTACAAAGGAAGGTAGTTCTTTTTCCCTCTGCTCTCTC